AAATACAGTTGAGATCCTTAGGGGAGTCAGGGGAGATTTCCAGGGACAGTAAATTAGAAGGGTGGGACCATTTGAGTTTTGGAGTGATAGGGAATCTAGGTCAGTGGTTTCCTTTCTATGTGTAGCACCCATTGTATGTTAGTTGGTTTTGCAGAACACAGGCACCCTGGGCCTATTCCACCATCCTGTACATCAGCCAATTGAACTTCTTCTTTGAAGAGTTGTGATTTTCACTGAAATATTCTTCCCATCACCCTCTGCTTTTTCTCAGGTGTGTTTCTGTTCTTGCAAGTTGGCTGTGGTGTCCCCACAAGGTTAAGCTTTGCTGAGCTCAGGAGCGAGTATAGAAATCAGTCCTACTTTCCTGTTGGGGAGACTGCAAACTATACTTGCCGGCCTGGATACACTAGACACCCTGGTATTCGACCCACTATTACATGCCTTCCAAATGGAACGTGGTCAGAACCACTCGAGTTCTGTAACAGTGAGTGTCTACATGCTACTTGTTTCTGCTGTTCCCTAAAGCTCCTAATGGCACTTGCAGCCACGCTACAAAATGTAACCCATGTTTAAATAGTTAATAATGACCAGTAAAACTCTGTGTCGTTGCCCACTGTGGGCCCTTCTAAATGAGATCTTTTCTGCAGAGTGTTTGATATGGACAGCGCCTTGGGATAACTGTGGCTTAGAAAGAGCAAAACGTAATTCTCCTCTTGTCCTCTACCAGGGAAATCGTGCGGTCATCCAGGAGAGCTGGAGAACGGCAGAATGAATGTCACAGATATACTGTTTGGGTCAATGGTCAACTTCTCGTGTGAGGAAGGGTATGTTTCTGACTGCCTGAGCTCACTACTTGGGCCTAGCTTGCAGCTATGCAACAGAAAGAGAAATCCCCGTACTCCCCTAGTTCCTGATTCTAGGATCAATGTGCGAGAACAGATTGATTGATATAAACCTCCCTCTTTCCTCTTCCCTTGCATTCTCTCACACGCTCCCATTTATAGTACACTCTTTAGTTGCCGTTTCGGCCAACTGAATGTTCTGCCTGCAAGTGCTGGGTGAGGAGAGACGTCTTCTGTGGAGAGTAGGTGTGATGGGTTGGGTCACCTGGGGAGCTGATCACAGCACTGAGGCCACCTAACTTCCCCGTGGGGCACCCCACCCTCTGTGTTCCCCGTAGCTGTGTGCTTGTGTGGCTGCTCAGGAGAGATAAAATGCCGGGCCGTTGGTTAGCAGTGTGCCCGCAGCCTGATTTTTGTTTCTACTGGCGATGCAATTTCACAAATGCCTTGGTGCACATAAATACATTTATTCTGCAGATTGATGGAGAAAATCTGCACAGGGATGGAATACATTTGGGGACCATGGCCCACCACCCAGTCCTGCTGATCCTGAAGCTCTGGTCTTCCCCACAAGGGCACAGAGTTGGGGTCACAGCCCGCAGCAGAGCAACAGAGACACTGAGAGCAATTCAGCCCCTAGAAGGCTCAGTCATGGGAACTTGGCACAACACTCTGGTGCAGAGCCCCATGGGAGCAAAACTCCAAATAAATCCATCTCACTAAGCATCCGGTTTGTACAGCGTAGCTCATAAGATGTTCCTCCCTTTCATCACCAGCTGCAAGTGACAACAAATAGAGCAAATATCTAGTAAATGACTTAACAAAACCCTCCGTTAAGACTAACAAACCAAGAGAAGTTGTTATGAATCATAACTTCTCACCCTACTTCTTATTTCAGGTAAAGTCTTTTCCAGGCCAGAGCTCATCTTTCTGGATTGGGCCTAGCAAATTCTCCCCGCTCTTCTTAGATGCCCTCTGTTTCCAGGGGTTTTCCTGTATCCTCCTGGGGTGGGGAGAAGTCTGTGATGCCAGTTGAAGACAATCATTGCTTCCCATTCCTTAAATAGCATTTATCCAGCACAGGAAATAGAGATTCCATCTCCCTAGCTGTGTGATAAAGTACAAAATTCAGCATGGACCCAGCACCAGGTGCATGGTCACCTGTCTTTGTGGGACCTACCACAATTCAGGCATACAGGAAAACTGACTATTCAAAGATCATTGTTCTGAGCAGCGGGCCGTTAGTTTCCTAGAGTACTCCTAATCTCCACTATTAGCTCATATACAGATATAAATGGGCTTATACTTCATAATTCTAACTTCATATACAAGACGGATACCTACACAGAAATAGGATATACACATTCAGAGGATTACAAGCTCTCCAAGGACAGGTTATATGCCCTAATTTTCGCAAAGAATATTTGAAGTATGCATATCCAGGCAGGCCAGGAGTTCTAAAAAGGTGAAGGAGCCTTTACACCAGCAGTCAGTGGTGTTGGTCTCTACTTGCTGTAGCTGGGGAGAAGCACGTCCCAAATACCTAAACTCTGCAGGAGAATTCAAACAACAGAGGGGCAGGTAACAACTGATAACCCCTCTGCCTATTTGCAGGCACCGGTTGATCGGAGAGTCTTCCCGACGATGTGTGATTTCTGGAATGCGTGTCGCGTGGAGTGGGGAAATGCCCTTTTGTGAGCGTAAGTAGGTTACAAATCTCGGTCTGTGTGCTTTCCCCTCTTTTCTGCTTGCCATGCAAATGTAACTTAAGGGAAGCATTATGATCCCTTTTTTCCAGAGTGGGAAATGAGGCACAGGGAGATTAAATGACTTCTCCAGGCCGGTCAGTAGCAGAGCCAAAAATTTCACTGAGATCTCCACATCCCAGATGGGTACATTAACCAGAAGAGCCACTCGGGGTTATAGGTATCTGCGAGAAGGGCTGTAGCTCAGGAAGAAGTGTGTTGTATCAAGTCCCTGACCATAAGAACTCGGTCTTTCTTTGCCGATTGAGTAGCAGAAAAAAGGCACCAAGCAAAACGTGTAACACATCACATGTTATAAAGCCATATTTCAGTGTTGGGTATGGAAATATAAAAAGCAGTTGCTCTACAACACTCAACCCTCAGTCTCAGGAGACTAGCATTACCCAGTGGAAAATGCTAATTTACGTCAACACATGGCATTCCGCGCTCAACAAGGAAGACCTGTAGACCTCTGACCATCCAGGGTAGCCCTCAAAAGGACACATACAGCTTGCGTATTACAGAAGCTCGTGTCATCTTTTGAAACTTAAAATTGTAACTCATTTCTCTCTGTATGTGTTCCTCCTTTAACTCTAAACAACTCTCTTGTTTCTCTTACCTTGTTCATAGCCCATTATTTAGTTTAATATAGGACTGGCATTGTAACATAGGACAGGTGTGCATCTTTGGTGAGAGATCTCAGGTACCACAGACTCCGGGGAGTGACTGTGTTTGATTCTCAATTCACTCCTCCTGTGTCTCTCCAGGTATTCCGTGTAAACCCCCTCCACATATTCCCAATGGAAAGCACAATGGGGATTTAATGGATGAATTCTATTATGGGTCAGCTGTAACTTACACATGTGATAACGGTTACCCGACAACTGGAGAGGCCTCTCTTTTATGCACAACCGAGGACGGACTAAACGGAGTGTGGCGTCAACCTGCCCCTCGCTGTGGAGGTGGGGTTTGTATTAGTGCAACCCTCCCAGCTCTGCTTTGTCATGGATAGAAAGTCTAAGAAATCCCCCAGTGTGAAGATGCAGTTAAATCCCGGTACTTCGACTTCCTGCCTTGTGCAACGTCTCCACAAGATTTCCACGA